GTTAAGTACTTGCTGGTACAGTGGTAGGGACATGTATATGGAAACTTCAAAACATCTGTGGCAAAATTTTATTATATTTTATTCCATTTTTATGAAAACTATTTGAAGTCCTCTTGTATTCTAAAATTATTCTGCACAGCACCAAATTACCATGACAACACCTACAAATAATTAATATCTCAATTGTTTATCAGTTCAATTGCCTTTATGGGTTTCCCCCCATTCTTAAAACTCTGCCAAATTTAATTTTTATTCCTTTGATAAACCTGATTTATTCTTCATCACAAAGCACTTTTCATTTCCTTCCCAAGATGAATTCATTTATTTCAATGGCAATTTTTTGTGAGGATGATTTTGAACAGGATTGTCACTCATTTCTCTCTCCATGAAAGAGAAGAATTGGCCTTCATTTTCAGATAATTTGGGGGAATAGCAGAGAATACATCTCCAAGAAATTTCCTGTTGTCTTTCTATTACTGATATTCTTTTATTAGTTTTTGTTAAATATTTATGCTTTCAGGCTCCATCTTAATCCAGAGAGGATATAGGTGATTTTAAAAGCATAGCTTAATAAACTTACATAAGGAGTTTAAATGCAGGTGGGGAAAATAATGCAAGACCCGGGAAGAATGAGCCCAAACTTAGACTCGAGAATTCTGAGTACCAAACTCACTGCCATCGAGTCTACGACTCCTCCTCCTGCCTGTCCTCATAGGGAGCGTACGTGGTTTCTTTACACATGGCCGCCACACAGGTGCTAGCAAGGCCATCTAGAGCTCGACTGTGTAACACTTCTTGGCATCTATTGATGGCAGGTTCTGCTCATCTACCGCTCAGCACCTAGCGGCACTGCAGATGGAAGGTCTGGTCATCGGCTTACCAAGGCTTCAAAACAGAAGCAAACTTCTTTGGAATGAATGCCGCCTGCTAGCCACCCTCTCGGGCAGATGGGATTTCTCCTGGGGTTTCTGAGACTGAACATCTTTATGAGAGTAGAAAGTCCCCTCTTTGTCCCTCAGAGCTGCTGATGGTTTAGAACTGCCAATCTTGAGGTTAAATGGCCCAACATGTAATCCACTCGTACGTGGAGTTGCCATGAGTAATTAACACGATGGCAATGGGTTTGTTAATTTTTAATTTCTGCTGACAGGCATACTGTAGGCACAGTTATGTAAAAGCAGAGATATAAGACTAAATAAAAGATGTAATGTTCATACTGGGTATCAGCCTCTCTTACTCCCTGGAGGCCTTTTAAAAATGAAATGTTAATAATAGTTTTATATCATCAAAGCCAGAAACAGTATTTTCTCTCATGTTTCAATCTCATCAATACCTCACCGACCCAATTTAAAGAGCACATGAGATTGGGTCATGACCAATGGGAGAATCCCCCGTGTTGAAGTAAAATGTGTAATACAACTTTCCCAACCTGTTCATGCTTTCAAAAATTAATTATATAGTGGGGCTTCAAAGTGTTCCTGGAATAATGGAGTAAGAAGATAATGGAATCATTCCATGAACTTTTTTGAAGTCCATTCATACAAGTCATGAGCATATCAGGTAAGGGACTTGAAATAGACATCTTAGAATTTTGCGTATGAGCTAGTCAAGACTTTAAAGAATGATCAGTGAAAGCCAGATTATAATTTTTTAGTTTATAAGAACAAGCTGATATATAATTTCAAAGCATTGTTTGGCTGTCTAATAAGTTGGCAATTTTATAATCTAAGATGGCCTTGCCTACAGATGAGTTAAATTTAAGGTTACAGAAGACAGAACCACACCCTGGCCACTAAAAACAAAACCGTAAAGAATCATATGTCACCATTGGCTCTGTGCTTTAATTGGCGTAAAGTTTTCATGGAGCGTAGCACACCAATAAGGCAGTGTTATATAGAATTAATAACGTCTGGAACAACTGAATTGAACTTACAACAATGAAATAAGTAGGCTTCCTAGGAGTAACCAGAATATGGATTTCGAAGACTAAATTCAAAGCATGCCTGTTATGAATAACCATTTAAGAATCCATTCATCTCATTGCACCTGTTTGCTTTACTTTAGGCCTTCTTATATGAAATTACACTCTGGGTTATTGATTGAAAGGCATTTTATATTAAGAATTTGTCAAGATCTGGGCAAATGCTCCTCTGAATATTGTTTCTTATGTCATCATATTTATAATCTAGCATATTGTTTTTGTTTAATTTTAGATCATTTCTGTCTGATTATTACTACTGTATCAACCTTACAAATATTGTTTAATTATGTATGGTTTATATTTTCAAATCCATTATTTTATTATTGCCTCATTTTAGTGTGCCTACATGTTATTACATAGTCTAGGAAAGAAACCCTAGGGGACTGTTCTACTCTGTCCCACATGCTCACTAGGAGTTGGATTTAATTCGATGACACACAGTAACATAGCGATGTACTGTTAGCTGAGATGGGCTCATCCCCATGGCCAATAGGATTGTTGTGATCCATAGGGTTTGTATTGGATGTTTTGTTTTTATTTTCAGACTTAGACCTCAAGGCCTTTTCTTCCTAAGCTAAACTGTCTTGGCTTCAACCACTGCTGAAATCTACTTAGCATGATAATGTAAATGAAAAACATAAGTCTTCTTTTCATAGGCAGGCGGTGAACGTACTGGTGGCCCATTGGCTGGGTCTCCCAACTAGAAAGTGAGCATTTTACCACAGAATTGCCAGAGCCTTTACCTTTATCTCTATCTGTCCATAAACAGATGTCTGATAAGACACAAATAATTAAGTCAAAGATGAGCAATAGATTTCTGCCAACAATAAGTGACTGCTTGAACCTATCTGGAACACTGAGTTGTTAAGGATTCTAGGTTTGTTTCTGCAAATGCAAAGGAATTCGGTGGGCCATTAGAGATGGTGGCGCTGTGGCTCTTTGGGAGAAAGATGAAGCTGTCTGCTTCCACATGGTTTAAAACCTCAGAAATCCAACTTAGGGTCACATTGAGCTGCTAACTGCAAGGTCAGCAACTAGAAACCATCAGCGGCTCCATGGGAGAAAGATGAGGCTTTCTACTGGGTAGTCTTGGAAACCCACAGGGCCAATTCTCTTCTCTCCTGCAGGGTCACTATGAGTTGAGACCAAACCAATGGCAGTGAATTTGGCTTTGACGTTTGGTTTGTATGAATTAAGATCAGAAGGTATAATAGGATATGATATCATTTATTTGTTTAGCTGCATCAAACTATGTAAGTATTGAAGAAAAAGGTATGTAGTATTAAGTAACCTTTATAGAAATATAGAAATATAAATTTTGATTTTAGCTCAGATTTCTTTTGGAAACTCATGAGATTTCTTAGGGCCTTTGGAGCATTAAAAGGATCCTCAAACCAAACACCAAGCTCAGTCAATTCCAACTCTGAGAGGAAATGGGTTCAATGAATTCTACAGATGAAGCTTGTCTATTTCACAATAGTGCCTGGAGCTGCCCTCATCTCTAACACCATCCTCTCTTTGGAACATGTTACCTTCTGAATTGAATGCAAGTGTCTTTTCCATTTCTTCTAGAACCACTGCTTATGGTAATTATCAAACGTTTTCAATGCATGGGATATTTAGGAGGGATAGCATAACAAATTTTCACAAAGCAATTTTATTTGATATAAAATTGCAAACATACATAATGACTTTTTGTCATTTTTTTAAATGTGAGAGGTATACAGAAGAGTTGAGCAGATGTGCTCAACACTAGAACATGTCCTACTCTACACTGATGGATTAGGGTGACGATTTAGAGGTCACAGGGAGTAAGGCTAGAGTTAATAACTGGAAACCCTCAACAAAAAATCCCCTCAACATAATAAAAATCATACAGTGAAACAACTCGAATGATGAAGATGAACAAAGACTTAGAGAATGGAGTCACAACTAACTGTTCGGAAGAAAAGTGATTTCTGTTGAATCTGAAAAAACTGCTGAAAGGAGTTAAACAGAGCAGTAGAGAAAGCAATAGAGAGCAAGACACAGGAAGTTCAAGGGGAGAGAGCCTATGAAAACAATTGTGAAAATACAACTTTTTATTTCAAATAGTAACACACAGTACTGGAAATATTATCTTACTTCTAATGATTTATATAAGTTCCATTGGAGGTTTTTTTTTAAAGTACGTGGGGAAAAAAGAAATAAAAGATAAGGAAAAATTCCAAAAGCTTTCTGATCCCCCCACCCACCACCCCACTACGTATATCTTTTAGCCTCAAGATTTCCTGTCCCTGTTTCCAGAAGTAGTTCTTCTAGTAAGACTTACACTGGAAAAGACTGCCCCCAAATATGTTAGGTGATGTAATGTCCTTTTGTTTATTTTTAGTTTGTCAATGTTCTCCATTAATTTAATTTCTGTATTTCAAGGTCTGCTTGTTTGGCGATTCAGGAAAATGAGCCTGTTTCCTTTAGTTATGTATGAAAAAACCTAACTTGAATTATGGATATGTCATATCAGATTTATATAATGGAATAAAAGCTTGCCACTGCCCACAAACATAGCTGCAGCCAACAAAGCTTGCTGATGCCGGCAATACTGCTACAAAGACAATTAGCCATTTCGGGAAGCGCATTCACTCTTGGGATACCATAAAGTTTCTAACCACTTTCTTTTCACTATAGTCTTTATAAAGTTTATTTTAATTTATTTTAATTTCACACTTTCCTTCCAAAGTTCTTTACTGCATGCTATTTTAACTCTTTTCTTTCTCTGGTTGTCTTTTTCTCCAACTTTTCTGTTTCACTTATATGATGAGGTGATACTAAGGAAATGAAGTGAAGTATAAGTAATCCAAACACTTTCCAAATAGTCAACTTAATGATAGTGACCATGCTCTTAAGAAAAGATGAATATGAAAATTGTAAGTATGCTATCTGTACTTACATATATACGAAATATAGGTGAAGAGACCCTATCCAAATCAACTTCCATACAATGGCTCATAAAACACTAAGAGTGGGAAGGATCCGTTACCTCAGCTTGATCAACGGGTAGGCTTTCAAGACTGTAAAAAGGATCCGGGTCCTCCAGGGTGGCGTCATATGGTTCTGAGTCGTAGTGGATGGGCTCTAGGGTGGGAGCGGCCCGAGCAGCATCACAGATGAGCAGTCCCAGAATGAGTCCTGCTAACGTTTTCATTGTTTCAAACTTCCTAATGATGAAATTTTTAAATGCGTATCAACATTTAATTGATTATAACCTGTGGAGAGCTTACCATAAATGGAAATTGAGAAATCAGTGTCAAACCTGAGGAACTGTTTCCATGGATAACTTATAAGCACAACACATGAAATGACTCCGTTTCTGAGGGCCATTGACACCAGATGTTAGCATCAAGTCACAGACCTTCCCAGATGTTTACAACAAAGACATTTTATAAACACAAAGGAGAAAATGGAATACAGAAAGTTCATGATGTGCCCAGTCACAGGAGTATAGGTGTTCAGAGTCTTACGTTTTCAAACTTTTAAAATTTCACTTGATCTTTCATCAACTCTATGAGATAGGGATGGTGACTATGATGATGATGAAGAAAATGATGATGAAAATGACTATTATTTCAGCCACCATTTTACAGATAAGGGAAATTAGGCAGAGTTGGCTAATGATGCAACTAGGACTTATGGGTTCTTGTAAATTGAAACCAGGTTTTCCAGAACAAAGCGTAAGGATTTAGCTTTTCCTGTTACTTCTTGCTGCTGGGCATCAAAAATATAAGCAGAATTCAATGTATCTCAGGCAATATTCCTCAAACGTTCTTAAGTAAATGGAACAGAGAGCATTTCCCCCTGTACTTCTTTGTCTTCTTTAAATGTTTACACACTGCTATCTAAGGTTTGCAATCAGAACTATAAATTATACTTTCAAAAAGTACTATATGCCAAGAATTTCTTAGAGAAGATTTGTAGAAGCATGAGATTAGAAAAACTATTGGGTTTTATATTTCTTTAACAAGTAAAATTCTTCTTTTGCATTATAAGCTCATGCTGTGGGTTATTATTATTATTTTAAATATTTTAGATTTGTATGCATTACTGTCAATGTCTTCAGTTGAGAGAAAAAAAATTCTCAAGTTCAATTTGTACAATAAAATTTTCATGTGGCATGGTGGAACTTTGTATCAAGCATTCATAATTTTAAAATAGCTTGTGATTTGTAATCTCCTTTTGGTTTTACTTGAAGAACAGTACATCTGGTAATTTTTTATTATGAACACATACAAAGGGGAATTTATGATAAATATTCCATGTAAACTTGAGTGTCCTGGCAGACAAATTGAACTTCAGTTCTTTGAAAGAAAGTCTTTATGATGCAGGTTTATGCAGAAGGATATGAAATTCCTCTGAGAATAAGAAGGAGTACAAGGAGCTCATTTTTATCCCCTCCTATGTGTTCCTCAAATACACTTTTTATTCACACTGGATAAACTAAGCTTCTATTCCACTTACCTTTTCTGAGACTGCAGACTTGGAACTGTTCTGGGCAATTACCAAGAAAATCTTACTTAATAAAAGAGCATTGTTTGCAAATCTTCCAGGAACCATTATTCCAAAGTCAAGTAGAAATCATTGACAGTGGGTGCTACTAAATTATATATATTTGTTGTAGGTTTGTGGCAACTTCCATTAGTCAACAAAAAGATATAAATGGTTGAATATCAAAGTTTGCTTGAATTTAGCGGAGAGCCTAAAGCTGGTAGCAATAAGGGAGCTGTGGGAATCTTAATTAAACCTAGGTTTAACAATCAAAATTATGTTCTTTCTTTTAGGCAATGAAATCAGTATTCAGTGTAGCTTCTTTGTTGAACTTTTGAATCCTTTTCCACTTTAGTCCATTTAATATTTTAAAATATATACTTACATAAAACTTTAGAATATCTAAAAAAGAAATTCTGAATACAATATACTAAATAATCATCAGAACAGTTTTAAACACTTAAACCTCACCTTTTCTCCCTTTGCATCATATTTCAATCAATATACACCAATAGCCCCAAGTGTGTGCTGGCAGAGTGTGGTTTATGTCAGGGCACTTGATTTAAAGTACATATTGGAAACTACTATCATTTTATTGGCATCTGTCATGGTATTAAGATCTGTTACTGTATGTTATGAATTCATAAGCTAATTCAGGCTTTTGGATTTTCCAAGAATAATACCAGTATAAAGTCAATAGCAAAATACAAACAACCTGTTGAATCAAAGCACACCATGAGAGATTAAAGCAAATTGAATGATTTTTTTTAAAGGTTGTTAGAGTTGGGGGAAAATAGTTTCTAAACCAAGAAGAAAACAAGTTCAAAAACTTACCTTTTACCTTTGGCTCCTACTCGGTGCAATAGCACGCAGTGACTGAGAATGCAGAGCCAGTGGTATTTGCTCTGACCAATAGATGTGAATTCTGGGTCTGTGGGAGGTGGAATTTATCACACTCAATTTTCTGTTTGGAAAAACTAACCTTGAGAAATGCTTCTCAGTTCTTCAAAACCTCAAATTATTTTATAGTCAACCAACCTAAGCAATAGAATCCAAACCCCATAATATATAAACTTTTACAAATATTTTAAGATCTGCCATCTCTCACTTTGAATTCTCTAAATGGTAAAATTTGGTTTTATCATATTTCACCCATGGAAAATAAATAAATTAAGAATGAGAATTAATGTATGCAGTGACACTACAGAAAATATTTTACAAGCAATAATTTCCCTGAGTTTTGCATATCTTTAAATTGATTTCTTCATCTTTCATTTATGTTAACCAAAATTTAGTGTTTCAAAGATCTTACCTGTTTAATGTTGGATAAGTTAAGGAAAATGGATACCTAAATCATTTGGATTCTTTGGGATGCATTGATAGCAATGAACAATAAACAGTTTGCATAAAAATTGAAAAATAATATGATAAAATAATGCATAAGTATGTTCTGAGTCTTTTGAGAGACCAGTTCTCATTTTTCTCTTATCTATCACAGCCAAACAAATCAAGTTACAAAATGTTGGTTTAATTTTTTTTTAAATTCTAGAACACAGATTTGTTTTTGTCTATTGTACTGGATAGTTTGTGAAATTGGGTTTAATTGCAGGTAGGAAGGGGAAATATGTATTTATTAAATTCCCATTCCTCAGTTTTGTAGTGAAGAACTTCTAGAGAATGATGAATCCTGCATAAAGTATTCTGGTCACTCCACAGGAGGAAAATGAGGCTTTCTTCTCCCTAAAGAGTTACAGTCTCAGAAAACCACAGAGGTACAGCTACCCTGTCCTTTAGGAATGGACTCAGTGGTAGTGTTGGTTTTCTGTGTGATTTGTTTTGTTTTTAAAATTTACAACCTTGGAAGCCCTAGAGAGGGTTTATATGAGTTAGAATTGACTATGGCAGCATTTTTTTTATATTTTGATTTTAATACATATCAATCTAGAAGTTACACTCTCGTTTAAGCATAAAAAGCTCTTCCCTCCATAGCCATATATGAATATTGTTATTTTTAGTTGCCCTTGAGTAGATTGCAACTCATAGCGACCCTGTATGGGTCCGGCAGAAGAGTAGCACTCCATCTGGTTTTCTGTAAGGTTCTCTGTGTTAGACCTGACTCAGTGGTACCCAACAACAATCATTTTGGAAACAGATGACCAGTTCATTTCTCTCATGCAGCAGCTGGGAACCTTGTGGATGGTTGCTGGATTCTTTGCTTTTGTAAAGCAGACTTGATCCTCTGTCCAAAATGGATTACATGTGATTTTCTTTCATTGTGTCTTACTTTTCTTGAGATAAATTTTATTTTGGAAGGAAACAGCAATCCTATTTAAGATATGAAGTTTGTCAAGGCCTCTCAAAATGTAGAGAAGTCACCTTTTAGGGAGGACCACCTTTCACTCATCCTTCTAACCCCTTGCACCACAGAACTTCTTGTGATGTGGTCTCGATCTGAATTCCTATACTGACTCTCTGTAGCAAAAATGCCTCATATTGTATCCTAGGTTATTTCATGTAATCATAATTTTCTCATCACAACTCTTAAGCCCAGTAGTAATCAGTTTTCAGTAATCTCAGCTGATTAAAAAAAGAGAATAAGACATTAAATTAGCATCCCAAAAGGCACAAAGAAAGAGAAAATCAAACTGGATCAGATTCAGATGTCAATGAGGTATGTTTGAGAAAAATGGCATGGTCTAAGCGCAGCTCTAAGTTCCTTAGATTTTATTTCAAATCCTCTCTATTTGGGGCTAGATTTCACTTTTTCAGATGTTCTAGTGATGGCTTATATGTTGCTACGCTGAATGTGTTAGCAGTGAAAATAATTGTTAGATGTGTAGGCAAATTTAAGTGGAACTCCCAGAGATGTTTTGATGGAACTTGCAAACTGGAAAGGAATATGCTGGTGCTTGTGCCATAACTTGCTTGCTTACATCTCTCTCATCTCTCTCTCTTTGTGTGTCTCTCTCTCTCTCTCTCTCACACACACACCTGGGTTCTATACAAAGACAAAAACCAACTCACTACCATCAAGTTGATTGCAACTCATAGTGACTAGAACTACCTCTGTACATTTCTGAGACTGTGACTCTTGATGGCAGTAGAAATCCCCACTTTCTCTTAATCCATTGATTGAATGGACCACACTGCCCTCACAGAAGAAACTCACAATTAGGGGGCTTATGAGGGACATTAACAGGTGAACAGATTAGAATTCATGTGTAAAATGCTCAGGGTCCTTTTTCAGTCAGTGCAGTTTTTTTCTCTGCAATCCCTTCTACCAGGCCTCCCTATGGTCCTCAGCCTCTTGCATCCTCTTGCTTGGCCTCTGCCTCAGGCCATGTTACACAGCAATTGGAGGGCTGCCAATAAATACCTAGAGGACATTCCGCCCTGCTGTCAACCTCAACAAGAAGGCACTCAGCTCCAGTTTTGTGATTCAGCAAAACCAGTCTCCTAAAATGAAGCACACCCTACTCAATAAGGCAGCCTCCTGTCCGGAAGCTCTCAGCTCTATGTGGGAAGTGGGCTGGCAAGTCCACCACTCAGGCTCCTGCTCTGGCTCTTGGGTCTGCTGTTGCTGCTCATCAGGCATCAGAGCTGTCTCTGAGATCAAGGAGATCTCAGTCTCCCACAGTCTTTCATCTTGCTGATAGTGAGCTTCCTTCTCCTTCATCTGAGATGGGCTCATTTCAGACCCAGCGTTATAACAATTGTAATAACTCAGTCCTCACAACTGAATTCTATCAGTATCTCCCTTCATCTTTTCTTACCCAGACTACCCAGAAAAGGTTACTTGGTGGGAGTGACAGAGACTGTGACTAGGAGACTCAGAATAACTCACCCACAGCACTGCAATTGGCTATCTACTTCGGAAAACTAGCTATTGAAAACCTGGGTCACAATAGAATGCTGAGCAGTGTAGTACAGAGAAATGAGCTTTCTAGGTTGAACGACACTGCACAATAGCTGGAAAGATGAACTCAACAAACCAATGATCGTGAAGATGGTAGCGTACCAAGTAATATTTTATTCTGGTATACATACGCTTTTCATAACTCAGGTTGACAGCATAAGCTAACAGTACTGAATAAAATAGATTAAATTGGTTTGTTTGAAAGTACCTAATGTTTCTTCCTTTTCTACATTACTTAATCCTGTACTTTGCACATGACTAGCCATGAAATTGGTTCAAACTCAGCAGCCAATCTGAGGGGGAAAGTTGAGAATATCTGCTCTCATAAAGATGTAGAGGCTCAGAAACCCTACAGAGGTTTGCTGTGAGTCATTCAACCCAGCAGGAGTTGTTGTTGTTGGTTGTTCGTTTATGCCCGTGAGTATAATCCCTTTTTTCAAATGAGTTGTGCGTTATGATAACAAGACACTATTAATTGGGGATGAATCACTGTCTTAATAGAGGGTGCTACTAAAATGATCACCCTTCATTTCATTGTGGGGAGGGGAGGACGGATGCTCTGCGTTCAATATATAGAAATACTCAGGCAACATTCCCGGTCTTGTTCTGTATCCTGCTTCTGGCTCTGGGTCAGGAGGGGACTTCCAGCTTGTCCACCGATTTGGACCTTACCAAACTCCACAGCAAAATGAGCCATTTCTGTGAGATTTGCAAGTACTGTGAGGTGTTACAGTAAATTACAGAACCCAGAGCTAGGAGGGGAGGAAGTGGAATGGAAATTAGAGATGATGGACTGGTATGGTACAGCAGTTTGGAAAAGTGGGGCATTTGTGATATCTTTAACCTGTGTCTCATAGGAATCTACCTTATGCTTATCCTTCTAAGAAATTGTTCATGCTAAGCCCAATTTTTGTGACAGTTTAATAACTAAAACACCTGACTCATTTTAGGATTGAAAGCAGGAATTTTCATTTTTGAACCTTCTCTCTCAAGTAAAATAGGACTTTCTCCTTTCCTTATGAACACTGACAACTTCTTAAACCATTTCTATTGGTCTTACTTGGACCATCTCCAGTATTTTAAAAACAATCCTGAACTGTGCGAACTCAAATTTGTAACAATATCATGAGGGCCTAATCTCCATTGAACAGATAAAACGGATTAATTACCTTTCCAAGTCTCTGTTATACCTAGTAAATATCTTCTGGTCTCATGATAATTTTCTTAATAAATCCTGAGCTTGGTTATCAGAAACCCTCAAGGGATAAGTTATTTATGACTCGGTATGTTGTTTAATAACTGCAACTTTATCCCTTTAATCTCTAAAACATTTTTTTCCCAAATCCTTTTAGCAACAGCTCTTTACAAGATTAATTAAACACCACACTGCTAGCTTGAATAGAATTAACTTTAAACAACATAAACTCTTCTGATGCTTGTCTTACCTATGTTAACAGCAGTGATGAACAGAGGGCAACCATAACTCTGGGGGAAGCCTATTGGTGGCTGTCCTACTCCCCAAATAGTCTTCCACAGCCTCAAGTGGTAATGTCATAAAAACTTCTAGAGGTATATTATCCTACACACTGTATTAGAAGAAATCAAACCATTCCTTGAGTTGATTAGCAACCTTCCTATTAAAAAAAGTTAGGGAAATTACGCATGATCTCAAAGCCCTTCTCCTCAGCACAAGAAGGCCATCCAAGGTGCCAGGTCTTCCAGCAGCATCAAAAGCCCAACTTACTGTGTTGCCTAAACTTCCTCTTTGCTAGTTACCTCATCTCAGACTCCATCAAGTCTAATCTGAAATCTTTCCATGGATTTCTATCCTCATTTTCCTTTGAAATGTCCCTTTACCTTCTTTCCCTTAAAATATACCAGCTGTCTTCTGACCAAAAGGTTCTATGGACTTCCTGTAAATGGGTTCTGTGTTCTTCTCTTCACTTATGTAACTCAAGGGTGAAGGGATCCTTTTGTTCTACGTTTTCTTAT